ATACTTTACAAAGTTTTAAGGATGATTCAAAACGGCATTTACTGAACATGGAATTCGATATATTAGATTTCAAATACCTTTTTCGAAAACAATTTAAAGGTTTAAACTAAATCACTTAAAAATAAATTAAATCTTTAACACTTTCTTTAGCATTTAATAAAATGGTTTCAAACCATTAGTATAAAAGATAACAAAAATAAAATTGTTTTTTGATGATATTAAATAATCAGCCCAAATACTTATGTTTATATATATTGCTTTTTTTTTTTTAATTAAACAACGCATTTTTTTTGTGTTTTTATAACTTTAATGATTTTCTGTCATTTTTACTTTTTTATTTTATTTAAAATTATTCTGCTGGAAGATTGTTAGCAACAAATTATTTTATTGCTGAAGTTTTTGTTTTGTTTTTGTTTTTGTATTTATACTGTCTTTTTGTCTTTTATCATTTATTGTGCATGTAAATTTTTGTGTGACGGGGCTCGGTGATAAGACAACCTGTCTTCATCTTGCTCCGGCCAGGATTTTTTTTTATTGTAATTTCTTTTTTGTAATATTTATCAACGGCAAAATAAACAAATAATAATAATAAAAAAAAAAAGTAGGTAAAACTACAGAACAAAAGTTACAAGAGTTTATATGATAAGAAACAAGCTTAACCAATTTTAACATTATGAGGTACCCGTTTAACCAGTTTTACCACCTTTTCATTGAGTATTGTAATAGTATTGTATCTCTTATACAAACTTTAAGAAGTTAGAGAACAACTAAGAGATGAAGTTTATCTTTTGCTTTATGACAAATTATTCAATAAATGTTTTTTTTTGCCTGTAAACTAACTGTAAACTAATGTCTTGCTCATTTTAAAAATAAATTGTGTGACATCCATTCCAAACCCCCTCCTTCATTAAGACAATTTTTTTTTTTTAGATTTTTTAAAATATTCTTAATCATAATTAAACTCCTATTATTTGAAAAACGTTGCAAATATTGGTTAAATTTTGCGTCTGCTAAGATTTATCTTTACGTTTTAATCTATGTTTAAATTGATATTGTATCTGTTTCATTATTTCAGCTAAGAAAAAAAATAAAATACTTTAATGAATATACAAATACATTAACAGAATAATAAAGTTGATGCAAAATTGGATTATAAAAAATTATAGTTCAGCAGAGTGGAGTCAGTCGAAAAAGTCATGTTCAAAAAAGTTGTCAACATGACCACTATAAGAACACCGTGAAACCGCATCTGTCACGCAGTAATGTTGGATATAGTATAAAATAATGAAATGGTCAGATTTATTATTAATTACTTTTTTATATGCTTCTTGGACTTTTATTTTGTTGAAACAGGATTTTTTCGTAAAAGATTTTTTATTGTAGAACTAGATATTCGGTCTGGTATAGTATAAAATGAAAAGTCAAAAAATAACAGTGTGTTAAATTAAATGTGTAAACCTTCAAGACGCGACTCAATATGAATAGGATTATCCTCAAAAATTAATTACTTGACCCAAAAAACCCCCCCAAACACGTAACATGTTTTTCTTGATAGATAAATAATTTTATGATATTTTCTGCACAGCATGCCATTCTGATTCTCATTTAAAATGATTTTTGCACTATTTTGCTATTACCATTAATAATTATGCTTTCAAAAAGATTATTAAAACAAAGTGTTTTAATAATTGCCGTGTATTAAAAGCCAAAGTTGTGTCCGCTTTTACTATATGTATTTGTTTCAACTAATTGAATATTTTTTCAATTTTCAGTTTAGTTTATTAGTTTACTTCGCCGTTAAAAATATTCACAACAGTACAACAATATAAAAAGTACAATTGGCTGGAGCAAGAAGAAGGCATAAAATAGCCTTATCACCGAGTCCCAATAGTAACGCAAATAAATAATCGTACTATATAATAATCCGTAATATATAAGCAACAGCATTTAAAAAAAGACAATTTTAAAATGCTAAGAAATAAAATTAAAAAAAAAAAAAAAAAAAGTATTAAAATAATTGAAAAAAAAAAAAGTAAAGAAATGATTAAAATATAGTAATAAAAATGACAAAAATTTTCTGCTATTGAATATTATTTATGCTTCTTTAATATACTTGTGTTTTGCTCAAGCTTTTAAAAATTTTTTTTCAGCCTTGAATTTTTAAAAATCTTATTTTTTTCAAGGCTATTGTAAGAATATATATATATATATATATATATATATATATATATATATATATATATATATATATATATATATATATATATATATATATATATATATATATATATATATATATATTTATATATATATATATATATCACCGTGTTTCTGGATAAAACAGATCCAAGGTTTCCATCTGGGCTTTCTATTGACTGCAGATTGGACTTGAAAAAGATAAAAAATGGAGATTCTAAAGTCAATCTATCGATAGCAGAGAACTATGACCCAGAGCTGAAAACTATAACAAGGTATTTATAAAACTCTGGGTATATTATGGTCTGTCTAAGTTAACAAGTGTTTAAAAATTTAATCAACACTAATCTCTCCCTCTCTATTTTCTATAGATAATTATTTATTTTTCTAAATAAATAAACTACTAGTTTACTAGTAGTTTATTTTTTTAGAAATGTTAAATGTATTTAACATTTATTTATTTTTATCAGGTCTATGGAAAAATGTAAGTGCAGAATTTGTAAAATTGCTAGCTTGAATGGTCTTCAGTGGAAATTATTTGTCAACAAACAGAAGAATAAATATATATAAAGAATAAATCTCAGGAGTTAGAAAACTCACATTCAGCATTCTTGGTGGTTTGGGAGCGATACCTGATAAAAGATATTTCTTCATCTAGATATATAGAGAACTACTTTAAGGATATCCTAAACTTTAATGCTAATAATATTTAGTTACATAGTGCGCAATAATATGTATTTTCAGTTTTTATATCTATTTAAATTCTGCTTAACTGAAAACAATATTTTAAATTACTTAAAAAAAAGATTTTATCCCTTTTTTTTTTGCCGGTTTTTAAGAGCCGTTTCTCAAAATTTTCACAAAAAATGTTTTTAATTTTTACAATTTTTATAACTATTATATATATGTAAAAGAATGGCACAATACGTTTTTTTGGGTGTTTTGATAGAGGTTCAGTTTCACCCTGGCACACGGTGATATATATATATATATATATATATATATATATATATATATATATATATATATATATATATATATATATATATATATATATATATATATATATAATATATCTTACACTGCTGAGTTAGGTGAGCATGATGACGTCATACTGAAATAGCCTGCTGTATATATATATATATATATATATATATATATATATATATATATATATATATATATATAATATATATATATATATATATATATATATATAGTCCTTGCGGTCATACCACAAAGCACCGCGAAAGAGCATTTAACTAGAAAAATAATTTTTTAAATTCTTTAACTTTTTAACAAACATATTTTTTCTGAAACTTGTTTTTACTAGTAACTAGTGATTAAAGTAAAAATTATCATAAAATGTGGCATGAAAAAATACTTTTACCAGTATTGTAACTAAAAAATAAAGTAAGCGGGTAAAGGGAACCACCTATTTGAATAATCTATATTCTATCTCTTGTTTCATTTTATTACTTCAATTATTTTGTTGTTAAAAGTTTCTATTTTCATTTTGAAAGTTTTTTTTGTGTACATACTATTTTATTGATCATTTATTTCGCATGTAAATACTTAAAACGTTTACAAAACACTATTGTAACGGCAATTAGACAATATGTCTTCTTCTTGGTCCTGCCAGGTTTTTATTTAATTGTAATTTCCTTTTGTTATTTTAACTAACGGCAAATATATATATATATATATAAAAAAAAATTCTAACATTACACTTTACTCACAGCGTTGGCCGAGGATATATAAATAGCTTAAAATTCTGTCGAATTAACCGGTCTGTCTGTTAATAGTCGTCATTAAAGATATCCTTTTTATAAAACTACTTTTTTAGGTTATTAAATGGTAAAAATGTCAATTTTAAATCCATTGGTAAAATCGCAGTAAAAAAATGAAATTTAGTAAAAATATTGATAAAAAGGGAAAACATTTTTAGTTAACTCTAAATTTAAACCTTTTTTCGGTATTTCTTTTTTAATCTTCTCAGTAGAAACTTTTTTATGTTCTTATACAACGTATAAGATTATGAAAAATTGCATATACAGAGAATACAAGCATATGTAAATATGCTTGTAAACATACAGTACATATTTAATTTCTTATGAATACCATTTATAACTAATTCAAACATATAGTAAAATTTTATTAAATTTTGATTAAAAAAAAAAAAAAAATTCAATTTAAATTGGTTCTACCCAAGCATTTCAGGATTTAGAACTCCATGGGCTGGTTCCCTTCGACTTTCTATTTGATTTTGGTTTATTAAATAAGTAATTATTGTAATTAATATATTACATATGGGTTCGTCTATAAATTACGTCACGCAATTTTCGACCGTTTTTGACCCTCTCTCTCCTCGTCATGACATCGTAACACTTTAGTAACAAGTCCCCTGAGTCTTCACAGAACAACTAACCCCTCACCCCCTCCCTAAACCGTAATTTATAGACGACCCGTAAATAAAATTTGAAATGGGTAAAACACTTCAATATGCAATCTCTTGAAGCAGGAACATTATTTATTGTATTTATATCGAATCTTATTCAACAACAGCAACAAAAGATTCAACAATAAGCTAATTTAAAAAATTGACTTCTCTTATTATTTGAGTTTTAATACGCAAAACTTTTTGTTGGACACATAATAATTGTCACTTAAAAAATGCATTTTATATTTTTAGTAAAATCTATAAAAATCATACTCATAAGTTAAAATTAAAGCCAATTAGCTTTCCTCAAACTTAAAAGGAAAAAAAAAACAAAAAAACAACAACAACAAATAGATTGCATTTCATGTATGTCATTTATTCATAAAATCTTTACTATGTATTGTATATTAAAATAATTATTTATAATATATATTAAAAAAATCTAAAAAATTTTAAAAACATCACTTTAGCAATATATAAAAGTGCAAAATATATATTAAACAATATTTAATAAAACATAAATTATAAGGCAATACAAATAAAAATGGAGAAAAAACACGATAATAATTTATATACTTAACAATTAAAAAACTGTAATGAAAGTTCATGGACCTAAAATTAAAAAAAAAAAAATATTCATACTTTAAAAATTTAACATATTTTATATAGAGTATTCAGTATTAGCAAACCTGTTTTTCAAACCTGTTTTTCAAACCTGTTTTTCAAACCTGTTTTTCAGCCATTTTTTTAAACTTTTTTTTTCCAGAGCAAATTATTTAATAAATACCAAATAATAATAAATGATATAAAAGCATGATATAAAAGCACTTTTTTCACCAAAAAACATTTTGTTATAAATATTAATAGACATACTTCAATCTGCTTTAAATGGATACCAAAAAACATCGAAAACAAAACAAAAAAAGCTACTTGGCTGCCTACCAAAATAAATATATTGCCTATCAATATCAATCAGATACTGGATAGAATAAGAATAAGCCAGATTTTGGAATTTAATCAAAGAAATAAAAAATATATCCTGTAAAAAACTCCAAAAAAGATCACCGAGTCTAAATACCTGACTACCTCAAAAAAACAACAAGAAAAAACCAGAAAGTTAGTCAACAGCTGTCAAATCTAAAAGACGTTTTTAAAAAAACCTTAATGTCAAGACTTTGTTTGAAAAATAATTTTCATAACTTATATCAGAGGATTCTTACTTGTTGCAAGGTTTCCCTTAAATCTAAAAACACACACTAAAACTCAAGAAAATTTAATGAAAATTAATCAATTATTCACAAAATCAGACAAATAAATATATTCTCAACGTTTAACTAACAAACAAAACTATAAATCTCTAAACGTAAACATCTGCACATCGTGTTTTACTTGAACATTGCTTTTTATTTTAAAAACCAACTTTTAACAACACTTTAAGAACAAAGAAAATTTATTAAAACTATTAGTTAAAAACTAAAAAATTAAAAAAAAGAATTCATGAACTGGGAAATTCTGCAGTATGTATTATCCTGTATACCCATAAGGATATCCAATGTCTATTATTCTAGTATTATAGATACCTAAATTGCATAATAGATATCCAATTTGGATTCTGAATATCTATTATGAATCTTAGATACATAAAAATAAGTTATAGTGATTATCCAAAAAATTTAAATCAAATCCAAATAATTTATTAATAATCGAAAAAATTTTTCCATTTTTGATTAACTAAATTATAAACTTACCATCATCTGCTACTTCAGCTTCATCTGTTGCTCCAGATGGTAAGCCCTCTATCATTATAGGACAACTACGTTTAGTACATTCCCATTTGCCTTGCTCAACACATATACTTTAAAATAAATAAAAAACTTATCTGTGAAATCTTAAATGCAAAAATTTAAATTAATATATTCACTTTAAGGATATTATTATTAAGCCAAAAACATATTATGTTTAACAGTGTAGATAATATAAAAAATAAAAGACTAAAATTTATTGAAAATAATTTAAACCTCATTAAGGAAACTGAATTTTTTTCTTTTTTGGCAGATATAAAACCAAATAAAACTTACATACTTAATTCCTTATTTCTTAATAAATTTGAAGTCGAAAATTTTTTGAATTGTGTTCTCTTAACTTTATCTTGATGAATGAATGAATCTCAATTAATGAATGAATGATCTTTTTATTTTTATTTGCAGCCATAGTCATTACTTTTATTAGACTAAGAATCTTTTCTTAGTTTTTTAAATGGTACTAATTGACAACTAAATAATAAAGGGTCAGATGTGTTTCAAAAATGTTTTTTGTTTTTTAACGTTCAAAAATTATGACCTAATAAAATGAGGGAATGATGTAATTCCCCTCAAATAGAGGTTAAATCAAACTTTATATTTTCATAATTTTTGAATGCTAAGAAATTGTTTTATGAAATTTTAAAATATCAATGAATATAGATTTAGTAAAGAATAGTTAAAAAAATATTTTATCAACTTGTTGCTCTCATGTTTAGGGCAGTAGGGAATGAAATGTGGGTTTTGTTCCCAGCCTCCAATAGCTAAAAAATTAGAGATTATTGTTAACAGGCTCCAAATAACGCAATTTTTTCAATGCATCTTTATTTAACATAAGTATAAACATGAGTATTTGAAGTTTCTCAAACATCAAGAAATGACAACAGACAACAAATTTTTTTTTTTACAATGTCAACAAGTTTTTTTTGACTATAATTATAATGTGTGAGTTTCAAATAATATTAAATAATAATATAAATAATAAAAATAAATAATAATTAAATAATAAAATAATAAAAATAAATAATTACAACTTTTTAGCAAACTAATTGATTAAAAAAACTAAAAAAAAAAATTCTTTTATTCAAGACAGATACGTTTCATTAGTTATTATCCCCTTTCAGTTTTCAAGTTAAATTTACATTTTTATTGTAAATTTATATAATACTGAAGAAATTCTAATAAAAAAAAAAGGAAAAAAAAACTCATAATTTTATGTGAAAGTGATTAAAAAAGTACTTAAAATTGTTTAAAAAAAATTCCATACATGCCAGCATGTGGATTAAACTGTTGCTAAAACTAAAATAAAAAAAGATGTGCTAAAACTCTTGCTAAAAGGAGATATCTCTCAAAGTAGAGCTCCTAGATGACTGTTTATTTGAGTTCAGATGTGAAAAAAAAAAATGAAGATAGTTATGAAGTATACAGATAACTTTATAAAATACAAAGCGCATTGAAAGTACTCAATAGAATGTTAAATTGAAAAAAAAAAAAAAAAAAATTCAACTAGATAGCTAAACCAGGTACTATTAAGAATGCTTATAAAAAAATAAACAAAACCCAAACAAATAAAACCATAACCTAGTTTAGGGTGAAAAATCAATAAGTTTCCTATCAAAATTAAATGACAATAACCAATTTGACTTTACAAGCCTAAATACAAAAGTAAATGTAAAATGACATTTAATAATAAAAAAGAAAAATGTAACACTAAATGGACCCAATATAAAGAACAACCAGAAAACATTTAGATGCATTGAGTTTGTAGGTAAGAAGAGCAGGGACAAGGTTCTGTCAAAAAACCTGTTGAACTCGACTTTAACATGTTTAACCCAAAAAACTAATTAACAATAAAATTAAAGATTTGTTAGACCCTAGACCTTTCAAGGCCCAGGCCGAACACTGGCCGTAAAATCTTAACACTTTGTAACCATAATAAAAACCATAAATAAAACTACGCACATATGTAAAGAATTTACTCGTCAATAGATTAAAAATAATCAACTTTTATTGTTGATTGATTTTTGATTCTTCGACACTTAAATTTGAAAACTTGGTACAAAGATTCTGAAAAATAGAGAAATCAATTATGTATATGATTCGATCAACTAATTTTGACTACAAAGCTCAATACGTTACAAAGAAAAATAGCTAGAAAATAGAGGTTTTAGGTAAGTAAATTTTTAAAATTACCTTAATTAACAAGTGGAATTTACTTCGAAGGTTTAAAGTAAACATTTCAAGAAACGTGCACACATGGAAACAAGCACACACGGAAAAGGGTATGCACCATTAATATCCACATACATCTAGAGTTTGCTGTGTCTACATGGAGACCACACCATTATCTTAAATTTCTTTATTTATGAAACATTTTAAAGAAAAGAAAAATAGTAAAAAATTTCAATAAAATCTATTCAAGTTTTTTTTTTGTTTATTTTGTTTATAATTTTATTATTTTATTTATTTATAGCATTTTTATTATTTAATTAGGTGTTCGAGTCAATTACAAAATTTTTTAATGAAAAATATTAAATCAAAAAAAATTTACTTTTTTTGTACAGTTTTTAATACCACCACTTAAATACCAGACCTCCCAAACAAATGTTGGGAACACCAAACCTCCCAAACAAATGTTGGCAGGTTTGGTATTTAAGTGATGGTATTAAAAACTGTACAAAATATTAAAGTGTGAAAACTTTACAAAGCTTAGAAAGTATTACTTTAAATAAAGGAAAAAGTTGAAAAGTTGCACTTAAATTAATTTAAATTATGTATTAAGTAATAAAAACATACTATTACATTTATTTCTACAGTGGAAAAGTCTAGAATATTTCATGACTACATTTGGTTTGAATAGTTTTTTAAATCAATAACTTTTATAAATATAATTGAGGGAATACTAAATGACAATTACTGAGGATTGTTATTTTTTATCAATCTTTACTAAAATTTGTAAATATTTTATTTAATAAAACAAACAAACAAAAAACATAATATATTGTTGTGCTTGCTGCAAGAAAATTAAATTATTACTATTATAAAAACACAATAATTAATACAAAAAAAAAAAAAAAAAAAATTACCATTTATTGCAATCTCTTTCTATTTCTTGTCCGACTGAGTAATAATTACTACTATCTTCACATTTAGGCTTGCTATCCGTTTCAATAAAGCAGAATGCAGGACAATTTTTTGTTAACTTAACCTTGTTTTCACAACTTTCATAATCAGCTAATGGTTTTTCACAAACTGTGTCATTTGAAGTACATCTACAAACATTACAATCTGAATTTTGCCATATTTCTCCCTCAGTATATGCTCGATTGGTGTTAAGGTCTTTACAAACATTTGTCTCAGGACAAATAGGGCAACATCTGCCTGGAATATTAATTATCTTATCTTCTGAGCACGGAGGTAAAGCACACATTGGTGTTGCACACATGGTATTACCTTTGTCACAAACACATGAAGCGCAAAAATCTGGCGAAGTCCACTCATCACCTAAAAATGGAACTTTTAAATTCAATAAACATTTGAATGAACAGTGCAACTATAACATATAATTATTTATGATTACTAAATATGATAATTTATGCAGAAAACAATTAAAAATAAATAATTAATAAAGTACCATCTTGATAAGTTTTGTTTGTTTGTTCATAGAAACATTCTTGTTTTACTGGTGATGACATCAGTATAGGGCATGATCTGCAACAATTACCTTCTATCAAAACAGGATTTTTGCACGGCAACATGCTATCTGGTAGACAATCAACAACTGAGCATAATTTCTCCCCATTAATGCAATTGCATTTAGTACATGAATCTGGGGACCATTCATCTCCTTCATTGTAAAATTTATTTTCATATAAACATGTACTTGAGCATTGAGAACAACATTCTCCTGGTTTTGGAATTGGTGTAGGGCAGTTAGACACACAACTTTTAATTGCACAGGCTGTAAATCCATCATCACACACACATGTAGTACATGGATCAGCTAGCCATGTTTCATCGTGTTTGCGAGTTATGTTATTTTTTTTATCCAGGCAAAACTTTTTGCTATCTAAAATATTTAAGATTAAAAATTTGATATACTAACTTTGCTAAAAATTTAAATAACATTTATTATATTTAAATAATATTTATTATAAGTTAACATTTATTTATTACATTAATAATTATTTCAATGATAAGAAATTTATTTATTTAAATTATTATTTTAAAAAATCTTCTTATATCTCTAATATATATATATATATATATATATATATATATATATATATATATATATATATATATATATATATATATATATATATATATATATATATATATATATATATATATATATATAAAAGCCTATTAAGATTTTCATACTGATTAATATATGTACCGAAGACAACACAACATTTACTTGTGTTGTCTTCAGTACATATATTAAGTGATATATAGAAAACATGAAGAGTTGAATTTGTTTATTTATAATCTTATAATACAATTATAAATAAACAAACTGATAATTTATAATCTTAAAAAATGTGTACATGAAATATATGTGAATGAGTAAGTACTTTATTTTTTTTCAGTGGTTATATTAAAATCATTTTAATTGTTTTGTATTTTGTTTACAACGTGTTGTGGTTTCAAAAAATTGTGTTGCTTTTTGGATTTAACTTAAAATTAGTTTTAAAAAATGACAAAAGAAGAAGATTTAAGAGAAAAAATATTTTCACAAACATTTGGAAAATCCAAATAGTATACTTTCATACACTGTTAGTTGTGTAATTCAATGATTTTTTAAACAAAATCAATCAAATGGTGGTAGAAAAAAAATGTAAAACTAATTTTAATTTTAAACTTTTTAAAGTTTAAAAATTGTTTAACAGATTATACCAAGACTTTCACAATGCGCAAAAAAAACTTTCTCAAATCTTTGCTGTGAAAGTTCGAAATAAACATGGTTTTCATTATTTCAAAACACAAAAAGTGCCCAACCGATTGAAACTCAACAAAAAAGTGCAAGAACCTGCAGCAGAAAATTGTATGACAATTTTATTTCTAAATATTTCTGTATTATTGAAGACAATGAATTATATATATCAAGCATGATCATCAACAAATTTCTGGCGCTGTCTATTATATGCCAAATAGAGAGGAAAAGCAGATAAGAAATTTAAATACACAAAATAAGTCAAGCTTGCTAAAAAAGCCTTGATTTGGCAAGCTATTTTTAGTTGTGGCAAAAAATCAGCACCTTATATTTCTCAGTCCAACTTTCTGGTCAAATATATGTTAAAGAGTGTTTACAAAAACAGAAAATTCTCCAAACTGCCTAGAATTGCAAGTTATTGAAAAGTACTTGGCTATTATTCAATGAAAAAAAAAAAAAAATTGCAGAAATATTAAAGATATTAAAACATCATTTAAAAAAGCACCAAATAGTTTTGATTCTTTTTCTGTACGCCAGCTTATGGGTACCATCAAAACAAAAGCTCAAAATTTTATTAGATTCCCACAGAAACAATTTGAATTTTTTTATTATGTTTGATCTTCTTATATTATTGCATTAAAGTTATTACTTGTTTTGAAATAAAATTGAAGAGCACTTTCTTTTTTGTTTTTCTACTTTTACATTTATTTTGTGTACATGCTTTAATAAGGTACTATAAGATTGTTATAAGAATGTTAAATTACCTTCTTTCTGAGAACTTGATATACAGCCTAGAAGAAACCAGTATTATAATAAAAAACTGCAATTAATATATTTAAGTAAAAAGAAAAGAAGCACATCTATATACCACATATACAAATTCAATGTGCTTCACTTCAATGTGTTATTTACTATATATATAATGTTATAATATATACAAATATAATATATATAAATATATATAAAAATATAATGAACAGTAACTAATGAAAAATTAAAAGGTTTTAAAAAGTAAACAGCATTAAAATCAATTTTTTATTTTGTATTTATTTCTTTTATATCTTTCATATTTCAAAACATAAACAATTATAAACTTGGTTACTTGGTTACTTCATGAAATAAAAAGAGAAGTTTTTACAGAAAAGTTTACAGAGAAACAATGAAATGGAGTTAAAACTGCATTTTTTTAAAACACTGTAAAAGTTGTGTTGTACTTGAAAGTTATCAAAATAAATGTACAAAAAAAAAAAAAAAAAACTAAAAATAATTACAAAAAAAATAAATAAAAAATCAAAATTTTCAGATCACTGTAACAAATTAGATGTAATTATCATTTAAAATATCTTTCAGATGAATACTTACTGTAACAAATTAGGTGCACATCTTGGCTATAAGTGTTTGTATTTTCTTTAAGATCAACTTGGTAAGAAGTAACTGTCAAGTAGTCTCCTTTTTCAATCCATTTTTGAGATGAATCTGACGAGCACCAGTTTACATTTAGTACTGCATGTACACTAAAACGTCCAGATAAATCGGATGGCTTTTTTATCTGGAGAACATAGTTATATTCTTTGTCTTTAAATTGTGATATGCTTAACACAAGCATGGCGAGAGTTTTTGACTTATAATCAGCAATAGAAACATCTCTGAATGAAACTATCAAGCAAGACGATGCATTGACTTTAGGTACATCAGGAAAGAATAATGTACCATTTACCCACATCATTTCATTACCTAATTGAAAATATAAAAAATAAAACAAAATCTTTCAAAACAAAACTAAATTAAAATTAAAAAATACATGGTAGTATAAACAATAAAAATATAATAATAAACAAATATTTAAGATAATTTTTTACCATTATTTAGAGATTTTGAGGCCGATGATAAATCTTTGAAAAAAAAAAAAAAAAAAATCTGCTAAAAAACATTTTTAAACTAAAAAATGAATTAAAAAAAAAGAAGAAAAAAAGCATTAAAACACATTAACTAGTAAAGTAAAAAAATACCTTCTTTGGTTTCACATTCTATAAAAAATAATAACAAATTGTTTAAAAATGTTTTCATATGTAAATAATTCATTTAATACAAAAAATAAAAAAAAGTTGTGAAAGTAAGGTATATAAAGAAAATTAGTTGTAAAAAAATCACCATACCATAGCATATTACGTTAACATCTAAATTATAGCTGTTTGATTCCTTATTTAGATTAATAGTGTGGGTTACTGTATTTAAAAAATCCCCTTTTTTGAGCCATTTATCTGAACCTTTTTTATAACACCATCCGTTATTTAAGACAGCTTGAACCACATAAGTACGACTCAATTCTTCATTCATCGGTTTCATAGACTGAAGAACATATTGAATACTTTTACCTACTTTGTAGAACGACATGTCCATAAATGTTGAAGAAAGAGTTATAGATTTTGCGTCTTGTAATGTGACATCACTCAAAGAGATCCAAAGGCAAGAATCTTTTTTTAATACGCTTTCAATGATATTAGAGAATTTAACTGAACCTCTTATTTCTATCACAGTGCTGCCTAAAATAATAAAAAACTGAAATATTAAAAACGTCCTATTAATAATGGTTATAGTAATAAAAAATAAAAAAATTGCAATAAATAAATATATAAATATAAATAAAAAATAAATATATGCTGAAATAAAAAAATAAAACCAGACTAAAAATCATTTTTTGGGTAGTCATAAAAACAAAATAAAAAATATTTTCATTGTCTATGAATGTATTTGGCTATGATAAATAATGTTAAAAAAATAAATAGATGGAGGAGGGGGAGGAGGCATAATGTGCATGTTATAATAATATCCCAACTACATCGTTGTAGCACCACATTTAACTTGTTTCTTAGCAAAGCAGCCTTGATTGTCAAAGCTGAAACTTTAGAAACAAAAAATTAAGAGAAAGGGTTGAAAACAACAACAAAAATGTGTAACATCCTCAACTGTGGCCCCCTAGGCCATGGAAACACAATTAAAAAACAAAATAAAATCAAATACAGGAAAGTAAATAAATCAGAAATTGGAAAAAAGAAGTTCATAAAATTATTATGACAATGGGTTTATTAAAAAAATTAATAATAATAATAATAAAAATAAAAATTAGATTAATGCTTAATAATAATAAAAAACAATAAATAACTAAATTAGTGAATAACTTTTAAATAAATCATAAAAGTGCAACTTTATGAAACATACTTATATACAATAGATAAGCACAGAAAATGACTGTTTTAAATTTCTGATTTTAAATGTATAAAGTTTATTTAAAAAAGGAAAACTGGGCTTGAAAATGAAACTCAATTGATGGTGCATGCACTGCAAATACTTTTTTCTTTAAGAGGGCCATTTTTTTATTTTCAGTTTTTTTTTTTATATTTTAGGTATTCAGGCTCAAATATTTATAACTGAGTTATAAGAGAATTTAAATTAAATATTTATTATGCAAAAATTGTTTGTACTTATAAATATTATAAAATAATAGACCCATAAATAATAGATCAATTTTATACTATTTTTAAATCTTTTTTTAAAATCATTAAAGGACACTTTTTCAAGATGTCAGGTAATGAATAATTTTGATCCAACATTTGATTCATTTATGAGCTCATTTTGAATATCAGTAAGTCTATTTTTTAACACTGTTCGATGTTATGTTATTAAGGTATCAAGATTGTTTGATGTTATATTAATAGATACTCTAAGGCGGTTCTCCACTAGTCAAAAAATATCGCGACGGGCGATAATTTTTGCTGATACACATGCGCAAATGAGTCTACAATACAGGTATAACAATTTCGCTGCGAAAAAAAAACCGCTACGCAAATAGTCGAAGATTTATTACCTTTTCACTCCTCAACTATTTATCGTTTTAAAACCAACCAATCACATTACTTTTAAGTGAAAAATAGTAAAAATAAAGATGGATATTTCGGATATAGAATTGGTAGAAGATAATGAAAATGAAGATTAAATTGGAGGTGGATTTGATAAAGAAAGCTTTATTGAGGCTGTTCGCAAGTTTCGGTGTCTCTGGGACACAAACCAAAAAGGCTACAAAGATAGAAATATGAAAGTAAATTCATGGAAACAGCTTTCAGTAACTTTTCATCAAGATGGTATAAAACTTAGGGGCCTTCAAAATTTTTGAGGACCTTTTTTTTTTTTTCCCAAACAAAAATAGCCCCGGGCCCCTAAAAAGTCTTAATCCCCCACTGTATATATATATATATATATATATATATATATATATATATATATATATATATATATATATATATATATATTAACATCTAATAAATGCATATATTCTATATTTAGTATTTGTTCTACAAAAAACATTGAAGAATTTAAAAGATAATCTAAAAAAATGTTTAGATCGAAGACGAGCTCTTACAAGATCTGGAGCTGGAGCTCTTTCCTTACCAAAGTGTAAATACTTTGATCAAATGGTTTTTCTTCATGAAAAAAGTTTGAACAAACCAACCAAGAGTAACGTAAAATTGACTACTGAATTAACGAATTTTAAAAACTTGACTGAGAGTAATATTAGTTTTACAACAGAACAAACAACCTCCCTACTATTTCTTGTCCCTGCAGAAGCGAGAAATGTAAAGATTTAATGTAAACATTTAAATAAAAAGCGTAAATCAGTTATAGAAAAATCCGATAACCTTTTTTTAAAGCAAATGAAAGATCTTGGCCATCGCATAGTCGATTCTTTGGAAGAAAAAAATATAACAATCTGTGAAATGTCTGCTTTTTGTAATAGTCTCATTCCTGTGTTGCAAGGATTACCAATAAAAAAGGCAAGATTAGCTAAGTTTAAAATAAATCAACTTTTATTCGAAATAGAATTTGGAGTTGCATATGAAGATATTTAGAATTTTATAAGTTGTATTTTATTAGTTGTATTTATTTTCTCTTAAAGATAAAAAACCGAAAATTTAATTATTATTATCTTTAATCAAAATAAACTTTTGTTTAATTTCATTTTACTTGCTTTACAATATCTAATTGCCAATCTACTGCACCTTCTTGATTAAAAAATTTTCTAAAAGAGTCCCTTACTTTTTTTGCAGTGTCAGAGTAGTTATTTGATGTATTGTTTATAACAACTAAACCATTTACACTTAGCACCTCTTTTCTCTAATCACTAAGTTGTATTCCATTTGGTCCATCCTGATCAACATAGTTTGAAGGGCAGTAACTATTATTATTGTTTATATTTTCAGTCATTAAAAAATTATGTAAAGCAACTACAGCCTTTGTTACTGCAATAACATTAGCTATAATTGGTTTATGCAAAACACGAAATCTACTTGATGCAATACCAAAGACATTTTCAACAACTCTACGCGCTCTACTAAGTCTATAGTTAAAAATAAGTTTATCTGTTAAAAGATTTTTAAAAGCATAGGGCTTCATCATGTGTCTTTTCAATCCAAATGGGTCATCTGCAACGAAAACATAGGGCATAATTTTATCAGAATTTTTAGATATTTTTGAATCTTTTGGAATTTTTAAAAGGTTTTTCTCTATGGCAAATCCTAATTGACTATTGTTGTAAACACTTCCATCACTTTGTCTGCCACTATTACCAATATCTACCAAAATAAAATGGTACTTCACATCAGAGACAGCCATCAATACTATACTATGTGTCTTTTTATAGTTAAAATAGCTTGATCCTGATCTAGCTGGAGCAAACATTTGAACATGCTTATCAACAATGGCACCAACACAATGTGGAAAGTGCCATCTGGTTTCAAATTCTTTGGCAATTTTTTCCCACTCAGTTTCAGAATTAGGCGCTTTTACGCATTCTCCTAACAAGTTGTTCCAAATAGCATTACAAGTTTCATATACTATTCTACCAACAGTGGTTGTTGACATTCAATAATTAGCAGCTATTGTAGTGACCGCATCCCCAGTTGCTAAATGCCGCACTGTTATAGCAAGTCTTTTTTGTGCACAAATAGGTATACGCATTTTCGTATTAGTTTTTGTTATATCAAGAGTGACAATTTGTAAAAGTTTTTAAAAGTTGAAGGAGACATTCGAAAATATTTGAAAAAAATCTCATGATCATAAAGTAAATCATTAAAAAGAGTTTAATATTCCCCCTTTAACTTTCTCTTGTTATAAATCTTTCTTAACCAAAAACGTCTTTTTTTCTTTTTTCTTTTTTCTCTTTGCCATATATAAATATTCATGTATATCTTTCTGAGAAGAAGTAAAAATTTTAACTTTTCTATCTTTTTTATCGCAAAATTGTAATACTTTTAATAAAGCGAAAAACGCTTTTGTTTTCATGTGGAGATAGACAGGTTTTTGCGCACAAAAATTTTGATTAATCTGTGCATGTGGAGCAGTGAAAAATATCGCCCGTCACGACATTTTTTGACTAATGGAGAACTGCCTTTAATATCTTTTTAAAAAATTATCACTTATTTTGAGAATTATTTTTTTTCAGAATAGCAATGGTATAAGCATAGAAACTTTTATTCTCTCTTTAAAGTTTAAAAAAAATTTAAATAACTTATTCTTTAAATAACTGAACAGGTTTTGTTTGTTTATATTGAAACTATGTATGTTGTATGAACCTATGTAAGATGTTAATGATCGAATAACAATGTTATGATACTTAACAATTGTTGTGCAGTAACAGATAATTGGAAATAGTTAGATTTTTAAATTTTTTTTAAATTTGATAATTTTTAAATATTTTAGTTTTAGTGTGGAATTCAAACACTTAGAATAAATAATAAAATAAATGTACAAAATGTAAGAATAAATATAAATATAATAAATATACTAAATTTTAGAACTGTATAAACTATATACTAATATAAATTTATCTAAAGTATTATCGTAAAAAAAAAATATATAAATTTATTTAAAAAAAAAATAGAATTAATAAGAGTAACATGCAAAATATAATCTAACATAATTAAAGATAATCTAACATAATTAAAGATAATCTAACATAATTAAAGATAATCTAACATAATTAAAGACAAGATAAAACTTTTAGTGAGATTATAGCATTTTCTTAGCACCCTGGGTTAGAAGAGTCTTAGCAAAAGCAGTTTAAGCAAAGAGGAACAATAAAGTATGAAAAGAGAGCTGATTGAGTGAAGTGGTGCTAAATGAATGCAACAAATTGTATACTTACATATCATATCACCAAAATGTTGTTTTCACAACAATTAGGTGATATGATATGTAAGTATACACCTAGTAATATGCAAAATATAATCTAGTATGTAAATGCTAATCTTTGCAAACAAATCTGAAGATGAAGCACATTTAAGTTCCTAAAAGGAAAATACTTTTACTTCAAAGAATTTAAGATCATCAAAATGTATAATCAAAGTTGATAGTTAAAGTCCTATTTGCCAATATAATTTAAATCTCATTTTGGACCAATTACTGAAATTTGATGCATTCTTAATTATTTGAAAACTATAAGTCACAGTATGCATTACTGTTTTAAATTTATTAATTTTTTATTATTATTTTTATTAATATTAGTCATTATTTTTAAACATCAAATTAAAAATTATTATAAACAAATTTTGAGTTTTGAAAAATTTTTTCTTTACTGTATAAGTGCATCGGGTAAAAAAAAAAATTAAATTAAAAAAAAAAAAATTAAGTTAATTAAAATTAAATTTTAAAAATATCATAAGAACTTTAAAAACTCACTCATTTGAGGTCCATCATAAGAAAATTTGGAATCCGTATCATCATCACCACTAAAATCAGATTCTTCTTTCTTTTCTAGTTCAAATTCAGGTTCTTCCATTGGAACTACAAAAAAAGTTCAATAAAAACTTCAAATCTATCAGATAGAATCCCTGTAATGCCATTATTAGATATTGCCTCATCAAAAATTTTATCATCAAACTGAATTATTGTCATATCAACTGTTGTCAATAACTTCAGATGAAATTTATTTTATTATCAGAGAAAATCATGGTTAATTTGAAAGGAAATTCACTTACATCCCATTTGTATATCAGTAAGCAAATCTGTTTTATCACAGTCTAAACATAAAAATCATTATTATTCAAAATTAAAATATTTTAAATGATTTTGAAAATGTTTTATTATAATAAATAAATTAAGAATTATATTGTTTCATATTATTTTGTATTTTTAGTATAATTAGTTATTTAAATAATGTATTCAATTTATGTAACAATTTAAAAATTAGAAAACATAGTCAAATTTAAAAAGTAGATTAATAAGTAATAATAAAAAGTAGATTAATAATAAGTAATAAGTAATAATAAAAAAATTAGAGTAAAATAAAATAAAGTAGTAAATTAATTAAAAACATTTTTAAAACATGAAAACAATCAAGTATTAACAAAAAAAACAACAACTAAAAAGATTTCAAATGGTTAAAAATTTAAATATTAAAAATTAAATCAATGTTTATTTAAAAAATCCTAGTGACTTACCATAACATTTTATAGTAATATCTTTTATATATTCATCTTTGTCATTACTTAACATAACTGTGGTTCTCTCATCTGAAAGATAATCTTTCTTTTGAATAGATCTACCATCATCTACTGTTCTGCTGCACCAACCAATGTTTAGAAATGCTCTAACAGAGTATATTCTACCGATATCTTCTGGTAAGGGCATCTTACTATTAATCTTATAATCAATTACATCTTTAGTGGTGACCTCAGAAAAATGTACAATTTGAGTAGCTATAATCCGGGATGCAACATCTGCTAAAGTGACATCTTGGAAATGAACAACTAAACACGATTTTGGAGGAATTTGGATGGTTTGTGGTAAAATAACTAATCCACTTATGGTCATTGATTTATCACCTGAAAAATAAATTTAAATAGAAAAAAACTGATTTTAACTTTTTTTTTGTTTTTTATTAAACTAATAATCATTTGATTAATTAAAAACTTTTTTTTATTAAATTATTAATCAAATTTTTAATTTTAATTTTTAATAATAAAAAAAAAAATTAGTGTTTTCATAAAAATTTCATAAAAAAAAGTTTTTCAAAATTCAAACTAACTCATTGGTCTTTCCTGGACTTTGCCAGCAAAAGGAAACATTGGCATACCCACAAAAGGAAATGCATTCATTGGCATTGCTGCTAAAGGCTTATCTAAAGGAGAGAAAAAGATAAATTAATGCCATATTATTATTAATATCATGTAATGATATTAATAATAATATGGCATTGCTGTTGAGCAATACCACAAATACAGTATTGTTGAGTTTGCAAGTTGAAGCAAAAAATAAAAAAAATAACTTTAACACTTACCTCTATCTCCACACAATCTAAGACATTCATCTTTTGACTTGAAATTATTTTTGTTACCCTGGCAACCACCATAAATAAACTCTTTGCAAGTACCAGTAGAAATGTCAAAATGCCATCTTGGAAAATAAGCGTAGCAAGCACCAGTATCTGGTGCAAGTTTACAAACTTCAGCTAAAAAAAGAAAAAAATACTGTATGTTATCTTTGTTTAATTAAAACCAATTGAAATATCATATTTTATTGTTTGAATATATTTACTTGTATTATATAAAATTTAAAATAAATTTAAACATATTTAAATATAATTTACTTATATATTTAAATATATTTATTTTGTTTATGTTCACTTACACTTTTTAACACATTTAGGTTGTTTACAAAAACAATTCTCAGAAACTTTGTTAGAGACATTTGTTTTAAGTTCATCAGGTTCACACTGCACATATGTTGGAGGACATAGTGAAACACAGGATATATTTGATAATCCATTACAAGTGCAATAACCTGTGCAGTCTTTCTTAACAAATTTTTCTCCCAAATCAAAAGTCATTCCTTCAAAATAGCACTTTGCTAATTGATGCAAAAATACACAATGATAATAATCCACATTTATTGATGCTGTATACATTTACATCTATATGTTTATTTATGCATATATATATGTGTGTGTGTATGTGTGTGTGTGTGTATGTGAGTATATATAAATATTTAAATATATATATATATATATATATATATATATATATATATATATATATATATATATATATATATATATATATATATATGTATGTATGTATATATACCTATAGGTAGACATATTAAGCACCAGCAAATAGTGTTTTCATTATATGCCGGTGTTTAACAAATGACTATAATAAAAAGTCATTTGTTAAACTTCAAAATTTTACAAATAATTGCTATTAGACTTCGTTAAATTTTTAATGACGAAGCCATTAAAAATGTATAATACAATACATATATATATACATCTTATATATTTGTAAATATATGTACATTTGTGGATATATTTGTAGATATATTACAACAATCTAATACAAATTTATAATTTCTTATATAAGATAAAAAGTCCTCTACTGATTTAAATTTTTTTACAATTAAACAAAAAAAAAATTATCTTAGACTGAACAATATTCTACATTTTACAATATTCTACAAAAAATCTACAAAATAACTTTTCTAGTACAGCGCTCACAACCATGGTCATGATCACAATACTTAAAATTCAATAAGTGGAACATGTGGAAAATTTTTCAAAAGGGGTCTGTGAGTCAAAATAACAAATCAATTTATAACTAAAACATAAAACCAAAATACCAAAATAAAACACTCATAATTGGTGCAGCAGCATTTAAAAAGAATAGCAGTGACAATAACCATGCTGTTCTCCTGGTACCATAACCAATGTTGTCCTGGTACAGTCTCAGTTTATGACTTATGATTTCTATAAATCATAAGTCATAAATATATTGCCCTATCTTATGAGATAAAACTTTATGAACTCGTTCCCAGAATTGATACATCACTTCATTGCAACACAACTTAACTTAACAATATTAAATCAAATACAAATGAAAGATCTTTTCTTTTTCCTATTAAATGATAATATTACTTGCAAAGATCAAGTTTTTTAAAAGCTTCAAAAATGCTTAAACAACAAATGCTAAAAAAATCTTGCATAGTAAACGACTTTACTTAGACTAATAATAATAAATTGAAGATCCTTCAAGTATTTTTAATTATTTTACTTTTAATTGTTTTATTACTTTTATTATTTCAACTTTATTTTATGAAGCTCTATAATCTTTTATATAAAATAAGATATATAAAATAAAATAAGATATAAAATAAAATATAATAAGATACAATTCTATATAAGACAATCAATTTATCCATCAAATTGTCATTAAACAAGAAAATTTTTTTAAAAATAAATAAATAGTCATCAATAGAGACACTTCTCCATTTTGAAATTAAATATTATGGCCAAATAGCTGTTTCCTTTCTTTTTAATTCAACAAATTATTCTGACAAATCAAAAACTTGTTTCCTTTTTATTTATTAATCCTGGGCGAATTTCTAAAATAAAAAGTGACAAAAAGATTAGGCAGATTAAGCAGCATAAAGACTGCTTATCTCCATAGATAAAATTAAAGACATCATTTCAGACTGTCAGATATGCTATTAACTAAAGCAAAACTATTTTATCTATTAGGCCTCATCAAACAAAATGGTCCAAGAAAAATGTCAGTATGAAAGAACAACCTTCACTATCATGAAAGCAACAAACTTAGCCTTGCAAAGCTTTAAACTGGAGAAAATGGAATGGAAATAAGCAATACCAGCACATTATAACCTAGTCTTTCTATATGCCTCATTAAACACTAGTTTGCACAATAAACGACTTTCAAATGCACAAATCTAACAAGTGTTGATTTATTTAACTTTTTAAGTTAATGAATTAATTCTTTCAAAAGTTCTGAGCTACCTTCTTTTTATCCCTTTGGGTAGAGACCCAAAGGAGAAAGACTCAAAGAGAAGGTAACTCAGGGTTACTCAAGTAAACTTTTGGGTAGAAAGAATGCACTAAATATAAATCTTGTAATTTATGTTACATGTAATGTTCTAATAAAAAACATTAATAATTAGTAATAATAATGACAATTAATGAACTGTAATAAATATTAGCAAAAACTTTTCAAATACTAAGCTTAATTATACATTATGAAATGAAATGATTTCATTAATTACATAACAAACATTTGAAACTTATTTAAACTTTTTTCTACAGAAGTTTGACCATAACAAATTTTTTTGCAAAAAGTCATAAACAACATATGCCATACACATGTGTTGCAAACGACTTGCAAAAGACATTAGGAACTAATCTTAGACCTAAGGAGCTACTATACACAATACATATGCATAACTATAATATATAGGAATACACAAACTTACAGCTATCAATTGCAGAACATTGTCCAAGATTTGGATATCCATACTCAGGGTTAAGCTCTAATTTTGTTATATTACAGTAATATCCTACTGGGCAGGTGATATCCTGATGAATGTTTGAACCTTCCGAACAAGTAAAACCTTCTGCCTTTAAACAAGTACTGTCTAATGATACTTTAAATACCCCATTTACACATTCTCTATTTAAAAAAAAAAAAAAAAAAGAATTTATGAAATTTAAATTTATAACTTATATTTAATTATTTATATAATTATTTATATATAGTTATTATAACTTATTTAGAGCAACAAAATTAAAGGAAAAGTTTTTTACTCTTTTTCACACATCCTGGATGTGTTTAGAACAACACCAGACTCAATTGTTTCTAATTTACTTTCTGCAGTACGTTGGCAATCTGAAATGATACAAAATTACATAAATATTTAAATTTAAATTGAATTTAAAACATTAGATCAATGTAGAATTTATTTTTATACCAAATACTATCATTATTTTATAATAAAGATAAAGTGCAAATATGGAGATCTGGAGCCAAATGTAGAAGATTTTGTTGAAATAAAATTTATTTTTTTAAAATTAAAAGTGATGAAAAGAGTTGAAGTATAAACTAGAATTGAATCATTTTGTAATCAATACAGTCTGCACTGTCGAAAGTGGAACAGCCCCTGATTTTATTTTTTAAATAAAAATAATACTATTGTAACCATTGTAAAAAAAAAAAAAATGTATTCATAAAATCAAACTAAGATAAAATTTTAATTTTTAAGCCATAAAATATTAATAGTAGCCATAAAATTTTCATAGTAGCCCAAAAAAATTTAAAGAACTTTTAAACTTATGTTAAATTTTATAAAAGAACCAGTTAAAAGAAAAAAATAATGTTAATAAAAATAATGTTTATAATGTTAATAAAAAAAATAATGTTAATATTTAAAGAAATTAACAAAACAATCCATTATTATTATACTTAATAATTTTGTTATACACTAAAAAGTATTAAAATAGCATGCTATATACAACAAAAGCACATTTCCTATGATCAAAACCAACTATGTTATAATGGCCTAAAATACCACGTCAATTCTTGAGAACTCTCTGATATTGTGAACTCTTAGATATTGTGAACTTATTGTACAAGTCTGAGAGTTTTCTACTTATGTAATTGTATATTTATCAGTGAATATAAAATTACATTTGTCCTAACTTTATTTCTAATATCGATTACCCCAAATATTAAATTTATCCTAAGCTTATCTGCTTTCATTCAAAATTTTCCAACACTGAAATCATAGCATTATTTCTTTTCTTGTCTCTATCAAAAATGAATAATGTGCATAGAATAGCTGCCATGGCAACAAACACTAGTTATAGAATATAGCTGATGTGGCAATTAACACTGAACTGAAAATTTTCTAAAGCAATAACCTTTGCACAATCAATACCATGTACAAAAAGTGGAAGATTTAGTTTTTAGATTAAGCCATTCATAAGTTTCAGTGCTGCCATTCTCCCATTCACCCATATACAAATATCAACAAGATTATTTGCAGTAAAAAAAAAACAACAAAAGTAAACAATTTGTTTAGGTAAAAACTTACCAACCACTGTGAGCCTAATACTCTCACAGATACATATACATATACATGACCAACCACCTGTTCTATATTATATGCAATTTGAAAGTTTTGTCAAGACTGGAGAGTATAGTTGTCTTACTAGGAGAGAGAGCTGCTTAATTTCTAATAATCTTTTTGAAAATGTAAGATTTTCAAAAAGATCATGAAAATAGACTGAAACATCCAGAACCATGGATGGAATTCTGCGGTATCCCAGAAGTTACTGGAAATAAAATAGAGTGTTGTCCTTTATACTTTTATAAACAAATTAGATATATCAATTACAATAGCCCTTTCACCACTGCTTCTAACTGATTCATGACTATTTAAATTTGTAAACTAATTAATTTTAAATTTTAATTTAATTTTTAACAGCTAGCAAGTCGGTAGTAGAACAGGAGAATTGAAATTATTAAATATTAAATTATTTTAAACTATTAATTGTCGGAAAGAAAAAGTCATTGCCTGAATAGAACCAATTAAAATAAAATATTTTTTTTTTATCTGCCTCAAGCAAAAAACTGATTTTCTCTAAATTATCAGCTCACTAATATTTTTTGTTGTGAAAAATTAATCTTTGGATTTTGTTGTGAAAATGATTTCTGTGGAAATCTTCTTTAATAATGGTACGGTAACATAAGTGATGTAAGTTAAGTATATATTATCAAAATAATACGCAAAATTTTCTGAGTTAGTCACATCTACTGGAACTTTATTACTTTTTTTATTAAGTAATAAACTCACAACATCATATTAAAAGTTTCAATACAATTTACAATAAGTTAAAATATTTCATTTTTATTTTTACTTTCATTTTTCTGTATAATTTAAAGTTGAACAGTACTTTTAATCTTAGGTCTGCCATCTTTACGCGAGACTCAAAACTTTTTTTTTAAAAGTTTTGAGTTTTTTAAAGCTTATTTTATTATTCAGACAGCTTTTATAAAAAACTGCTAAAAACTAAGTAAACAGTTTAAATGAAATAATATTTGATAAAGTTGTTGGTCATATACATACATACACACACACATATATATACATATAAATATATATATATATATATATATATATATATATATATATATATATATATACATATATATATATATACATACATATATATATACATACACACACATATATATACACACTCATATATATATATTTGATAGAGTTGTTAGTCATATATATATATATATATATATATATATATATATATATATATATATATATATATATATATATATATATATATATATATATATATATATATATATATATATATATATATTTACATGTGTGTATATATGTATATATATATATATATATATATATATATATATATATATATATATATATATATATATATATATATATATATATATATATGCACGGAAGGAGAGATTATAAAGCAAATACCTTTGCATGAAAAGTGCGGAATTTTTTGTTGGAGTTTACATTCTTTACTGCGCAGTTCACATATGTTTTTATACTTATTACCATCATTATCACACAACTTTTCTTCATCCGATTCACAGTCATTTCTGCAATAACATGTTGGTAACTCATTATCAACCTTACACCACTGATGCCTTCCGCATGTTGTACTGCTGCAAAGCTCTAAAAATTGCACAAATCTTTAAAAGAAAAATTAAACTATTCCTTAGTTAATAATAACTTAGTTCTGAATTCAAATTTCAATTTTTTTCCGACCCAACTCAATGAAATTAAAAGAGTATCAAGAATTATGTAAATAAGTTAAAAAAAATATCAAAAGACGTGATTTAAACATCTAAAATATGTCTTAATACATTTTAATTTGTGTTTTAGACATTTTAAACACCAAACCAAAAAATTTGTGAAATATAAGCAGCATATTACAAGGATCAGTCTTGGGTACTTGCTTGCTAGCACCCAAGACTTGCTCACCTAAGACTTGCTCGCTTTTTCTTGAACTTGAAATTTTTCATTAAACTATTATGTTGACTTGAGTGAGAGGATTGTAAAAAAAATGTGATATTTGATTATTAATTGATTTTAAAAGTTTATTATAGATTTTATTGAATTCGATTATTATTGGATTTTGAAATTTGCTTAAGTAATAACTGAAAGTTAAGGTGAAAACAGCAAAAAAAAAAAGTGCATTAAATAATTGAATGGCAAACACTATTTAAAGTTAAAAATAAAAATTATTGAATATAAAAATAAAAACTTTTGTTATGAATACAAAACCAGTGGGCACAAGACATAACTTAAACGTTTAAAATATGTATTAATATGTTTTAATATGTATTTTCAACATTTTAAACACATCTTATAATATATTTTTTATAAGATGATTTTTTATAAGATGGGATATTTTTTTTCTTTTGAATCATGTGATATGTTAACCCTAAAATAACAATATCCCCACTGGGATATTATTATTAACCCTAAAATAACAATATCCCCACTGGGATATTATTATTTTAGGGTTAAGATATCACATGATTTGAAAAATTTAAAAAGTGGACGAGAGTTTACAAAATACTAACAAAATTCTTCGAACAATAAACAACAAAACTCTGATACTGTGATAATACTATACATTATAACAAATATATATAATCATTAATATATTGACTACACATAGACCACGCATAAAGTAATGTTTTTCACGCCTAAAAATGTCAAAGATAAAGATAAGAAACAAATTGAAATAATATAACATCGATTAACTCAAACGAGAGAAAGTAACACATTTATCATATACAAACAGGATACTAAAATTTGATCTATGGAAACTTATGCAACAGATCTATTAAAATTTACAAGATATTATATAGGTTATTTACAATTATAATAGTATAACCTAAATCTTTAGATTAGACACAAACAAAAAAGAACTAGAAGTCACTAATCACACCACAAGGCTACTTAAATTATTTAAGTACAGATTACATTTTAAACTGTTAACAAAAAATGTTTGAAAGTTTATAAAAGTTGCAGAACTTTTTAATAACTATGTTTTTTAATGCAAAAAAATAATTTATAAACAAAATTAGCAACAAAATACTTTAAATAAAACATTATAATTATTTATACTACCTGTCTCACAGCGCCCTATTTTATCTGACATCTCTAGATTTAAATTTTTAAGAGAAAACGGATGTCGAACTTTACAAACTAAGCCTTCTTTGCAAATTCCATAAATTTCATTAATTCCACCACAAATATCTCCTTCATTTCGAATGCAAACCTTACAGCAACCACATTTTTCTTTTATTGTTCCAAATTCACATTTGTCTAAAGTTGGGCATTCTTCATTGCAGGGAGGACAGGTTTTATCAGATGCATCTAGAATTACTTTTGTAGCGGGTTTGCTGTAAACTCCAAAGAATAATAATTGCAAAAGTAACAGTTTCATGCTCTAAAAATAATTAACTATTATATTATTTCACATTTAATTATTATGTTTTAATATTATTATTATGTTTTACTATTACACTATTAGTTATCTAGTTATTAAATCTTGACACCATCTAGACAAAATTAAATTAAAAAATCAATAAACAAATAAAAATTTCAAGATCAGGATCTCAGACAATTATTTATGTTGAGGCTAAAAAAGTTCTAATAAATGCACACATAATAGTAATTAATTTATTATGTTTTTTAATAATAGATACGATTTTATCAAACTGTGTAACCATTCAAAATTAAATTAAAAAATCAATGTCTATATATATATATATATATATATATATATATATATATATATATATATATATATATATATATATATATATATATATATATATATATATATATATATATATATATATATATATATATATATATATATATATACATATATATATATATATATATATATATATATATATATATATATATATATATATATATATATATATATATATATATATATATATATATATATATATATATATATATATTATTACTTATAGGATTAAAGTCTTTTAAACAAATATAACTTTATAACAAGGAAGATAATATAATTTGTAAAGAATACCCTGATTGTAAGTCCAATCAAAGATCTGTTTCAGCAGAAAAAATATTTTAATAATATAAATTTAAACAAGACCTACAATGTGCACAGATTTTAAAAAAGAATATTATAAGTTTGAAATAACTTACAACTTATGTTAAGAAACTGTATAAACCTTGTATTAAAGCCATTAAAAAAAAAATTGTAAACGTTGACTGATAAAACTTCAACTGCTTCTGGAAAGTACATAGCAAAAAATAATACTGCAACATTACATCATTAGAATGCATAAGAAAATTTTCGTTGAACTTTCAAATGCTTTATAAAACTAATCATAACATTATTACTTGGCTTTTCAATAAGTCTCTAAAGTTTTTTAGCAAAAATCAAGAGTAACTCATAAGCAATATGAGTTAACTGTACCATGTAAGCAAAGACAAAGCTTATAAAAGAACATTGATTGAAACCAAATAACAAAAATAAAAAAAGGCTCTGCCAAGAGCAGAAATTTCAAAAAGTTTATAACCTGGTTTTTTTTTGCTTGTCTGATAACCATTTAATATTAGAGAAACAATTTTAAAAAAAGTGCACAAATTTATTTGATGAGCTGAGTTAAAATTAGAAGGTCATTTATAAATGTGGTTTTTTAAATAAGTATAAATGAATATAAAACATTATCAACTTTTTTTTCACTATTTAATTGTATTTCACTATTTAATTGTAATTAGTTATTATGCATGCTTATTTTATTTTTAAAAAATTAAAAAAAAAAAGAGTCAAACAAAAAAATTTGTTCAATATAATAAGTTTGTTCAATATTTAATTATAAAGTCTAAACAAAATTATTTAATTAATAATAATTCAATACAGTAAAAAAGATCTAGATGTTTCTTACTTATTAACATTAAGTCTTTATGATGTTGGCTTAAAATGAGACTCTTTTTTTTTAATAAAATTAAACTTTTATAATAACACTTTGATTCAAAATGATTGACAAATTCTTTAAAAAAAAAATTATATGCACGGCACCATTTTTCTATGAGATAAATGTTTTTAATTTTAAAAACTCTCACTGATGCATGTCAAAAACTCTTTCTGATGCCTGTCAAAAGCACAATTTCTAGTTTTTACATTATTTCCTTGATAAGTAGTTTTAGATTTACACAATATAATTGAAAAAAATAAAAAAATAGCAAAATTAAATACAAAAACTTTTAATCTTGTTTTTAAAGTTGTTTTATTAAGTTTTTGTTTAAAACCATGTATTTCAACGCCAAAAAGAGTGCACTCAGCAGATTATGTGGATATTAGAAGCAGCTTTCTGTCATGACTCGTGGATAGATGCTTTGAGGCATTTTTAGCTTGTATTTCTTGAAATGAAAAATATTTTCGATTGGCAACTAACTAAACTAATCTTAAAATAGCTTAAAGTTTCTTTACATTAACTTTGCTATGGGAATCAAGTTTATATGTAAGTTTAGTAATTAATAATAGACAAGTTTATATATAAACTTGTAACTAATAAAATGAAACTTTGGGTTTAAAAAAATGGATTCATTCAACTTAGACAGGAATGAGAAATCGGAGGCCGGAGTCTCGAAGTCCCTGTTTTTACCCGGAGTCCGAAGTCCTACCCGTAATAAAAATTTTTGGGAATCACAGCATATGCTTTACATAAATCTATAGATTTATGTAAAGCATAAATATGCTTTACATAAATCTATAGATTTATGTAAAGCATATGCGCTATAATTTATTATTTAAATTAAATAAAAACACATTACGACATTTTGATTTAACTGCGCGTTTAGTTTAAAAGTTATTATAACGATTTTCATATATTAGTTTTAAATATTTTAACATATTGATTTTAACATATTTTTATATATTTGTGGCTTATTTAACTATGTAATTTTGAGAAGGAAAAATAAGAAAAGGCCAATAAGCGGAAAAACAAGTTGAGCATGGTCAAACTTGAAATTTTTCGCTTACTAGACGAGCGCTCTACCACTACACCACTACCGCATGCATGAATGAAGTTAACAAGTTTTTTATATAAAGTAAATTCGTAGAAGTACTTATTTTTATAGAAAAGAAATTATAAAAAACTATTTTTTTTTACAGCTTTTATTTTTTGAAACTTTATATAGTCTATTCTAGCATTTCAGGGACTATATTCCTGAAAACTCTGGTTAATTGGCTCAAAACATTAAAACAAAAAATCGGAGTGTAAGGAATCGCAAAAAAATCGATAAGACTTCGCATCCATGGTTATAATAATCCAACTTAGCTGCTAGCTACTAGTTTATGATCAACAAGTGATCATAAACTAGTAGCTAGCAGCTAAGTTGTCAATTATGTTTGTTTTAATAGTTGACAAATTAAAGAAAACATGTCCTACTTTTGTGGGTGTTGGTCCTTTGTCTGGCAAAAAATTGGGTTATGCACAAATGATGTCACACAGTTTTTACCGTTTTTGATCCCTCCTCTCGTCAACCACTAACCCATCCCCCTCTTTCCTAGAGCTTAAAGCAATTTGTGAATGCCTTAAAGCTAAAAACTTTTAAAATATCTGTTTTTATTCAAAATATTTTTCATATCAGTTTTCTTTAAACTATTGCATTTTTTAATGCCCCATTTTTTACTATTTAGTTTTCAAAAAATTTAAAACAAAATACTTTTAAAAAATTCAATTCAAAATAAACTCTTAAGACTTTTTGGGGTTTATGTGACGTTCCATTCATTTTTTATTAAAACCTATTTTTTAACTCGACGTATTTTGCTTTAGTCAGTTTACATTTACACAAAACTTACGAAACAAAACTTACAATTACACAAAAACTTACGAAACAAAAACCACACTTAAATTAATGACTTTATTTTCTACATAGAGAAAATGCAAATATTTAAGCACTATTAAAAGTTAGTATCAATGCTTTGCTAAGGGAGGCAACGAGAGTATGTCTGTTGCCAAGAAAGAAACTGACTTGGAGCCAGTTATTTCATTCTGTATTTTGTTACAGATATATTTAACAACTTTCTTTCTAATTAGCTTACGTTCATCTTCATTTCCAGTTATGATAAAAAGAAACTGCTCTTAAAAAGCAGTTTCTCCCTTAACTCTTTGGTTTTCTCTAGGATTTCTACATATTTCTGCCCTACTTTCTAGAAGGAGAACTACAAACTTTTCTGCAATCGATTTTCTTATATGATAAGTTTTACATTTTGCTATTCTTGTATTTGAAACATTCACACTGCTTTCATGTTGAGTAATATCGTATGTGTTGCTTGATTCAACAAGGTCTTTGATAATTGGTTCTTTTTTAATATTATCATCATTTGATCGTTTAAACAATATATATGCTATTGCATTGGAAAATTACTCGCTTCTTTGTTGCTTTGCAAGAAATGGCAGTGATTAAAACGTTTAAAAGTAATCACAAAATACAACGCGGTTCGGTTGCAAAAATATAATTTGCCGCAAATTATTTATGGAAGTAAAAATCTTATTATGGGAGCAAAATTTTCATATGCCATTTTTATTAGAGAGTAAAAATTTATTATGAAATTTCCACTGGGAAGTAAAAAAAAGCGCGGGTGTAAAAATCTCATACTACACCGGCCATGTTTGTACAGTGTTGGAAATCATACATCTATTATATCAATATTAAATATATCCTTATTTACCTTTAAAATTGATTTTTAAATTCTAAAATTTAGATCTTTTAACTTTGAATAAGATTTTTTTAAAATTATGCACGTTAATTGAAATGTATACAGGTTAGTAAACAAAAGTTGTAACAAAATATTAATTTTGAACAAAAGTATTTTTTAATAAACTATAGTTTTATAGTAGAACGTTTTTTGAAAGCTTTTTTTTTTAATTATAGTTAAATATAGAAGGCCCGTAGCAAGCATTTTTTGTTATTTGAGATAAAAATAACTAACTTTCAGACATGGAGGGCACTCCAAACATTTTTAAGTTTATGTTTATGTCAAATAAGGAACATTTGTAAAAATTGAGCCTAGGAACAAATAAAGCCCTAAACTCTTCACCCTCCCTGTCCCAAACGTGAGAGCAATGAGTTTATCAAAATATTTTTTTACTAAATTTATATTCATCGACATATTTTAAATTTCATATAATACTCTCTTAGTGTTTGAAAATTTTGACAATATAAAGTTAAACCCCCTCAATTTGAGGGGCTGTAAACTTCGTAAGGTCATAAAAATCGAAGACTTGAAGATTTTTGCTTGAAATTTGAAATTTGTTGATGAATATAAATTTAGTTATAAATAGTAAAAAAAATATTTTAGGAGCTTAGGAATTTATTTGTTCCCAGACTGTGGTAATCTCAATTTTTTACTTTATTTTTCATAAACATAAACTTAAATGTTTAGAGTGGGCTCCATGCCTGAAAATATCTCAAACAACAAAAAAACTTGCTACGGGCCTGTATGTAAGCCTGTACCAGTAGGCCGGGTAAATGAAAAAAAAGCAATTGCTTTTTCTCAGTGTTTTTGTAGTAATATAAGTAAAAAGGTCGCTCAACGCTTCAGTTTGAAACTAATTGAAACGAAGTCATAAAGAGTTAAAAAATTTGATGCTTGTTAAATTTTTATTATTTGAACTTCAGTGTTTATATAAAATTACGACATGTTTCTGTTTAAAGAATTTTTTTGTTTAATAATATTTTTGAAAATATTTTATTTGTAGGGAACTTAGCGACCAAACAAATGTGAGTCAAATATTGCTAAGAATTGTCAAGTTTTTTATATTTTATTTTGAAAGTATAAAACAAAATAATGAACAAGTAAAAAAACAAAAACTTATTTAAGTTAAGAAAACAAACAACAAAGACGCACTTACGACGCACAAACGAAATGCGGACTAAATATTGTCCATATTTTGTTTGGCCAAAAGATTTATTTTAAATCGTCAAAGAAAAATAACGACCGCAGCAAAATAATAAACTTTGCTTTCTAAAATTAATTATAATAAATAAATAAGTGACTAAAAAATGACTAAAAAAATATAAAAACAAAATAGTAAAAAAGTTTTGTTCAGGTTTTTACATGTTAGACACTCATTAAATATTTCAGTTTAAAGGTCCAACCGAATGTTCGGCTCTCCATTTCAATCATTTAAATTTCTTAAATTGAAAAGCACAGTTTTTTATTTAACATAGAAAAACAGAAAATACATAGGTGAAAAAGTTAACTGGATCTTTAAAATTTAAATGGTCTTTAAAATTTAAATGGTCTTTAAAATTTAAATGATCTTTAAAATTTAAATGGTCTTTAAAATTTAAATGGTCTTTAAAACTTTCTTTGCTTAAAGATTATTCAAATTTTGTCAAAAATTTCAAAAAACATGACATCAAAAAATTGGCACAAACAATTTCAAAAACAAAAACAAAAAAAAAACAACATTTGAATATAAGTATCAAACAAACCACAAAATCTATAAAAAAAATGCCACAGGATGTGTGTTAAACAAACCACAGAATGTGTAAAAACAAACCTCATGATGTGTAAAACATTGAAGTATAAAATATGCAATAATTTATATTAAAAATTATTTTGAATTTAAATGGAGTATAAAAAACATGTCCCTAATCTAACTGTAGTCATAGGTAAATAATACCTTCGTCTGAAATTAATATTAATTTAATATTAAACATTGAACTTAGTCCTTTATCTTCGTATAAAAAAAATCAACATTTTAACCGTAATCTCACTTATAAACGAACATCGCATAAAATAAAATAATATATATATATATATATATATATATATATATATATATATATATATATATATATATATATATATATATATATATATATATATATATATATATATATATATATATATATATATACCTTACAACTCTTTGTATAAATACAAAGAGTTGTATATACCTATCAACGTAAGTTACGTAACTCCAAAAACAACTTATATTACCAAAATAGTTTGAATACAAATAAGGAGAGATTTATTTATAATAACAGACAGTGGTGATAATTTCTTTGTTTTGATGTTTTTTGGGCAAACAACTAATAAAGCGGAATCGAGCACAAACATTTTTCCGACTCAAAAATTCGAAAATAAATTTTTGTTGATTCAGCATTTTAGATGTTATAATAGAAATAAACGAAAACCAAATGATTTTTTTGATAACGAAAGAATAATAATTTATAATTTATAAATAAATAGTAATTAAGTAACTAATAATTTTTCGTTTTTATTCTCAACATACACCGCAATAATAAAGATTCGAAGTTATTCAGTTAAAGCTTAATCAAAATAAATTTATTCTTAGTTTAGTTTATTAAAATGGATATAAAAATTGATACTAGAATAAATAGAATATGAAAATAATCATAATTATGAAAACAATTAAGTATCAGACTTTTACGTAGCAATTTTATCAATTTGACTTTTTTAATCTTCATTATCTATTAAGTACTTATAATAAAATAGATTTTAATATACTTATAAAAACAATATTATTTATTATTTAATATATTATATCATAGTTTAAACTGTGAATAAACGTTTTTATGTTTTAACGTTGTACTCAGTGAGCACACGACGTTTTTAAAACATCTAAAACACGTATTACAACGTACTATTACGATTTTCAAACGTTTCAAACACTTTTTATCCCGGGGAACATGATTTTAAATAAGAATGAACCCTAACCATATTATGTATCTTCCCTAATCCTACTCATAAACAAAACCTGGACTTTAACACTGCAATTACTTTAACTCTACCATGTATCTACCCAACAAATACACTTACCTTCATGTACAAAGCTTGTAAGCAGTTGTTTTGATCAATACGTAATGGAATCCCAATAATTGATACAAACTCTACAAAAAAGATTATTATTTAAAAATGAAAATTTTAATTACTTTTAAATAAACTAAATTCCTAAAAAAAACTCTATTTAAAATCAAATATTATTAAAAAAATCTTATTTAACATTTATCAACAGTAGTACAAAACAAAAAATCTATTATTAAAAAAAGTTCTTGTAAGTTTTAAAAATTGAAGTTTTTAATTACAAGTTTCTAAAAATAAGTTTCAAAATAGATGTAGTTTAAAACTTTTCATACATTAAAAAAAAAAATACAAAACTGAAATATTATCAAAATTTAGATTTATTATAAGTAAGATTAAATTTATATAGGTAAAAATATGCAACAAAAAAGGACTATTAAGCAAACTGTTCTAAGTCTAGCTTATATGAACAATTCTCAAAATGAATTTAAATATACACAATCTCAAATAAATCTAGATATTAAAAAGAAAAAAAAAATGTTTATAATGAAAGAAAACAGTTGAAAATATAATGTACAGAATGCAATCAAAGCAGTATAAACGTATACTACATGATACATTATATTTTAAAAAAGGTTACGACAAAATAAAAAATAAAAAATTATAATAAAAGAAATACCGTAGCTAACCTTCTAAAATTTTTTTTTAAATTTCTTTAAATAAATATTTTACGTGCTCGTTGACTTGTTTCTTTTCTCAACTAAAATGTAGAAATTTAAGTTGATTTTGACAAAAGGATCATAATATAAATAAATCTTAAATGACGTCAATAATAACTTATTTGTACTTGACTCAGAAGTGTTTTATATTTAAATGTTTATTTAAAAAAGTGCTCAATGTTTATATTAGTTTTATATTTTTTTTTATTACAAAATTCTCGCTTTTTTAATTTATAAATAAAAGTTTATATAGTTTAGTTATTGCGATGTTTTATACGTGGTGGCTGAGAAGTTTATTTACTGTAACATATTATGAAAGAAAAATCTTGGTCGAAATGACCATAGCTCTTAGGTATGGTCGCTCTGACCATACCTTTAAACATATCAGTTGTGGCACAAGTAAAATTTAATCTAAGTAAGTAGATGAGTCAAATAATTTGAAATTATGTTATTTGTAAATCTTATCTAAACGTCAAATTCAAACCATTAAGCAGATACCCGTTGAAGCCGAAAAATTGTTTTTTACTTTTAATGAAGTTTTTGACAAACCAAGCATGACAAGAATTTATAAGCTTTTGAGTAATATCTTTTTATTTAGAAAACGTAGTATCCTTTTTCCTGTTATCATGTAAGTCATCAATATGTATTAAAGTATGCCATCTGTAACACCTATAACAGTCAATGCTTTATTTACCACTTTTTTTTATCAACTTGATTCTTGAAGATAATCTTTAATCAAATTAAAGTCATTGATTGGAACATCTGCAGAGTTTGAGCAAAAAATCCAGTTCTTAAAATAATTTGTAAATACAAAGTGTACAACTTTCTCAACTATTCTGCAATATTTTGTGATGAACATTGAAAAAAAACTTTTCACTGTAAAAAAGAATTACTGTTTGCCAGTGAATCTATGAAAGAGTCGCATGTGAAAATATCTGGTTTGTTGAAAAAAATCCATTTAAGAGTTTTTTTTTTTGAATAAATTTTTGCCTTGCTGAAAAGTTCCAAGTAGTCAATAATAATTTAACATCTTTGTCAATTCATGTCTGGTGGTTCATCAACGACATAATTTCATACCTCATTTTTCTTTTTTATTTTCTTAGAATCACAAACTCTTATATATATATATATATATATATATATATATATATATATATATATATATATATATATATATATATATATATATATATATATATATATATATATATATATATATATATATATATATATATATATATATATATATATATATATATATATATATATATATATATATATATATATATATATATATATATATATATATATATATATATATATTGTGATCGTTGTAATAACATAAAATAAGAAATTATTTTTAAAAACAACACAATGTTTTTATTCTTGATATGTTTCGTAAAATTTATTTACATTTTCAAAAGATTATATTACAATAATAAAACTATGGAATAAATATTAATAAAGTCTTTATAGATAAATAATAACGGACAAAAATTTACATAATAAACCAATATATATATTACAAAAATAGCTTGGTATATAACCAATCAAAATAATTAACTGTCGAAAATAAAATAAAATAAAATAATAATAATAAACTGACAGTAAAATTAAATAGATCAGTTTATGGCATTATGTGAAGTTTGTTTATTAAATGAGGGACTTTCCAATTAAATGTGGAGGGTTTCTTTCATCTTTAATTTGTGTTTGGTTGGGGCATTATCCAAAATTTCAAAAATATCACAGTTAGCCAGATTTTTGCAATTAATAGATAAATTTAAATGTTTAAATATATCAGATTATTTATTACTTTTAAGGTGCTCATATATATTCTAGTTGCCAAATGTCTAGTGGTTTCTCCAATGTAACTGGCATTACAGCCAGCGGATAAAAATTTATAGACAACATAAGATTTAAGCAGTTTAGGAAGTGACTTTTTTAAGCAAAAACAATTTTGTATTTTATTAATAGTGAAAAATAATTTTATTAAAACACCCATGCAATATTTATGAAAAATTTTTGAAATTTTCATTTTAGTATAATTAGAGTACATTCCAATGTATGGAAGCGCAGTGGGTGCGGCCGTGGCGCATTGGTTAAAGCGCCTGCTTTATAAGTAGGAGATCCAGGTTCAAAACAGACTCTGAACATATTTTCGGGTCACGGTTAGGAAGTAGACATGAACTTTCTAGTTAAATGCACATACGCGGTGCTCTGTGACAAAATTGTTAGGCCTTCTTAGGGCATCTAAATAACAAAATAATAATAATAATAAAAAAAAAAACTCTGCAAAGCAGTAATAAAAGAGAACAGCGTAGGGACTGAAAATCTCTTATTCGTAAAGTTCAAACATATATTTGAAGATCCTATTTACTAAAACCTATATTACTAAAAACGATATACAAGGAATAACCGAAGAAAGTTGAGTGAACTTACTATGCAGTATTTATTCCTTTCTGCAAATTTCAAATTAAAGAAAACTTGAGCTCTTCATCATTCTAGGTTTTTAGGCAAGAGTTTATACTCCCTTAAACCTCAGCCTTTGTTGGAGCAATTAAATTTTTTACAGGAAAACATAGTCTACAGAATGATTTAAAACTCGTCAGTAAGTTGATAGCATGCTTTTACACAAGGAGGTTTAAAGCGCAAAAAGCAATTCATGCTCTTGCTTTTTATCTTGGTACAATCATTGAGATGAAATGTTATAGGAAAGTTTGCTCCAATCCGGAGGTAGTTGACGCTGAGTTAGCGTCTTTTTAAAAGCATAAATGGTATCCTGATTCAACAATTTTTTCATTAATAGGGTTGGATGATCAGAGAGTGAGAGGCTGGTTGTCACTTCCACCTCATTATTGGCACGCCCAATTCTCGTTTTAGAATTTTGAAAATTTTCAAGAAATATTATTTGCAGTCAATGATCATTCTGAACAAGCAATCGGAATGATGCAACAGTTTGTGCAAAGATACAAAAATGTAGATGACAAACAGACTTTTAACTGTCGACAAACTAAGGTCAATTTTTAGAATTCTTGGTGTGGGAAAAAGCAACTTATACGAAAACGTAAGTAATTCATACGAAAAAAAAAACAACTGAAAAAAGTTAGAAAGTACTTACGTCACTCTCTTAACTAAACAAAAAAAAACTAAAGACTTAGAAAACTGTTACTTATCTTAAAATACTTATTTCAATTAATCCGATTCCGAAGTCTGTGTTTTTACTCGGAGTAAGACTCCGTCTTGCCTGTCAGAAAAATTGCTGATAATTCAAAATTTTTTTATTTTATGTATCAGCATATAAACGTTTCCTAACTAACCTTTAATAATTTTTATAAATTTAATAATTTATAAACCAGTAAAAGCATGAACGCATTGAATAACGCTGCGTATGGCCTTACGGGATAAAAATAGTTTAAAAACATGCCGCATGTTTATACCATACATCGCTTATAGCATATATTTTTTTAAAGAGAATAAGAGGTAATGGTGTAATGCGGTAGTGGTGTAGTGGTATGAGCGCTTGCTTTGAAAGCGAGAGGTTCAGAGTTTGACTCCCACCATGTCCCTGGAAGTACCGCGCTCAACTTTGCTTGTCAAGGGCTTGCTTGTCAAGGTTCGTGTTTCGGAGTTAAAGAGTTGAGAGAGGGTTGTACCACGATTTACAACAAAAAATAAAAAAAAACAGAAAAAAAATGAGTAGCCTCCTCGAATGTAGTGGCCCCCTCGGGCCTTGGGGAGGTGAATAATTAGAAAAAAAAAAAAAAAAAAAGGGGGCGAATCACAGCAAATGCGTACACAAAATCATTGAAGTACACACATTCCAAATTATGTTTAAGCTAGGGTTGTCATTGTCCTAGTTTTTTTCGTAGAAGTACACAATAAGAACTTTAATTTGAATTAGTTTAGCGCTTTGCTTTCCTAAGTTAAAACCGGGACAATTCGACTTTAGAATCAGTTTCATCATTTAGGTTCGAGGTTCAACGCTTGCGTTGATGTCAAAATAGAATGTATTTTTCTAACGCATTTTTTTAATGACATTGTTTATACTAACAGATATGGTTTTACTGATGAAAAAGATTTTTTTTTAAAAAAAAACAGTTTTAAAAGTCTTTTAAAAAACAGTTAGAAAGTATCATTTTACAAGTGTAGCAATTGAAGTCTATTAAGTATGTCTGAGCACGTCGTTAAAATAAAATTCGTAATACTTTTTGAGTTAATATCATTTTTCATTTAAATTAAATAAAAACGCATTATGACATTTTGGTATCTATGTGCGTTTAGTTTACAAGTTATTATAATAATGATTTTAATAACTATTTTATGTGGATTATTTAACTAATTTAAATAACTAATTTACTTTGGAAAGGGTTTAAAATAAGTGGTATAAATAAGTGGATAACTTTTATATTGCACCTTTCCCACCCACAACACCACTTGAAGTCAACAACTACCCCCACTACACTTGAAGCCAACAAGTTTAAATAAATTGTATAAGTAAAAATACTTTCAAGGAAATAGTTTATTTTTTGAGCAAAAAATTGAATGCAAAAGTAATTCATAGTTTTTTTACAGCATTATTAAAACCAATTTACAGTCTGCCCTTCAGGCACTATGTCGTTCCTAAGAATTGGTTAACTGTTTAATTGATTCAAAAAAGTGAAAAATTTTTTTGTGACCTCTATAGGACTTTCCATCTCTGCAATTTATGCATAACCTTTGTCTTAATTGTATTTGTATCAAACGGTTCATAACTTATTTAGTTTAAAACCTAGCATTTATTTTGGTTGATTTATGCGGGGACATAAGATATAGGAAGTATGAGGGGATGGGAGTGACACAAAACTCCGTTCCCCATCATAGCCCATCGTCAAGACTGGTTACACGAGTAAAACGGGTTCAATTTTTCTTGCAAGTTTGTCCATCTAAATGAACTTTAAGTATAAAAATGTATAAATTGCTATTTTTATAACATTTGTATAAAACAAATTTTTCATTTTTTGCTTTTCCTAAATATCATTTTAACCTTACATACCTTTTTATAATGAAATTATGGATAACAAATGATTGAAAAAGAAGAAAGCTGAATAAACTTTGTAAACTAAAAAAGTTTTTTTTTAGTTTACATTTGGTGTCGTAGTAAATAAACTACTTTCACAAACACAAACAAAGTTTCTGAAAGAAGATCGTATTGATCTTATTATCAGAACCTTTTACAAACGTGTCTATATAAACTGCATCAAAACATAATCAATCAAATAAAACGTAATTAACAATAAAAGTTCTAAAGAAAATATAAAGTTACAATCGAAGTACATCATCCATTAAGATAATTAAATTTTTCAGTTTATATTTGATAATGAGAAAAGTAAAATGCATGTCGAAATTGGACAAAATATAATTAGTGAGAACTTTCATTTCAATAAAAAATGGTTTGGAAAGAATGTCCGCAAAATTTATTAAACGGATCGCATGTTTCTAACGGTGACGTATTTCAACTTTTTTTAATGCTTCTCTATTAACATAATTTAAATAATTATGAATTAATGAGTAATAAAGTTAAGTTAAACTTTTTTTACATAAATATGTTCTGGTTTTATATAAAATTCCAATATTTTTAGAAATTCTTGTACCAATATAGTTGATATGAGTTTTTCATGTGATGTTTTCATCAAGAAAAGCACAAAACACCTAAGAACTTTGTAACATTATGTCTTTTTATTTCAACATTATAAATAAAATTTTAAGACAATCTTTGGAGTAAATAAGCTTTTTTTGAGACTGGGAAAGAAATTTGTTTTTTTAATGTTAAGAGTTAGTTGCGGCGCGAGTTGGTGTTACGAGGGGGGCTGCCATTACAACTTTTGCCGACTAAAAAAAAAAAAAAAAGTCCTCGTTTTCCAAAAATTATAAAAATCAAGAACAATAGTGGTCCCAAAATAGACTCTTGTGGAACGCCAAATAAAACATTTAGAAACTTATTTGGGTGATCATTTTTGCTGAAAACAGTTGGATAGATAAATTTTGAACCATTTTATATAACGAACTTTTTTAAATAGATATTTGTATTCTTTATATATTTTTTTATTTGCGGATGATTTTGTTTTAAGTTAAAAATTTTTCAATAAAGCTTCTATTTTATCTTTGATGATTTTTTAATCCCCTGGTCACCCTTGGGTTGTTTATACTCTTTGGATTTATTGTTTTTATAATGATAGGAAAGTTAACGTCATATAAGAAACAAAATGATTCAAAAAAATTACCGTAAATTTTGTCTGCATAATCATTAAAGTTAATATGCTTTCAATATAATAGTGATAATTGGTTTTTAAATTGTTTTACAATGGTTTTGTTAAAAGTGCGTGTTTTGTGATTCGGTTATATTTTCAAAGTTTGATTTTAGCAACAAAAATATTGGAAAATGATCAGATATATCTGATTTCAGAATATCTGTTTGGAATGTTTCTGCTGTAATGATATTACCAACCAAAGACGCTGAGTTTTTAGTTACTCTGGTTTGATCAATTGATCAAGGCGATTATTCCAGTTTTGAAAATAGGAATTGTAAAATTTTTTAATTTTATTATCTTCACTGTATAGAAAACAATTCATAATCCCTTTTTTAAAAATATTTTGTTCGAAAAAAAATTGTTTAAGTTTTCACTTACGACGTCAGGTGTTCGTTAACAACCCGACAAGAAAGGTATGTGGTCATAGTTTTTACAAATGGAATAAAAGTGTAACTATATTCCAGTCAATGATTAATTTATATGCTGATAATCAGTGTAACTTACATGAGGAACACATAATGCATCCACATAATTACTCCACTTAGTGTGGTATAATTCTTAAATAAATACGTGCTAAATTAGGTGTGTCTATCATATGGGCCATACATTTAAAATTCACAACAATTTTTAATTTATTTTAATTCGTATTCCTTTAAAAATAAGTATACATACAGTATGATACTTATTTGTATAGATATATATGTACAGAGGCGATTCTACAGGGGGTGTGGAGGGTGTTACACCCCTCCCCAAAGAGGTAATTATCAAGTTATAGTTGGTTTTTTCGCAAATTTAGTCGGCTGTTTGACACGATTCAGTCGGTTAAATTTTCGTTTTAAGGACCTTTTTTTTTTTTTTATAAAGAAGCCAGTCGGTACTTTTGGAGGATTCATAACCCCTTCATTTTCTTTGTAGAATCGCTTCTGTATATGTATAATTATTTGTAGATTCTATACATTAACCAATCTACTGACTTGTTTAAACTTTATATTTAAACGTCAGAAGATTTGTTTATGTATTTGTTATGTTGGTGGTTTTAATGGGATAAACATTAGAGCCACATATGGAACGTATCATCGCCATCCCATAAAAGAGAGTGGTAAATATATGGCTAAGATATGCTTACCACACGTGGGCCAAATTAATCTTACGCGCAAAATCAAGTGTGGCTAATGGGATGAACTTTATAGCCACATATGGAACGCACCAACGCCATCCCAGAAAAGAGAGTGGTAGTTAACATGCAATTACTACATATGACCCACATATAAAGTTCTTGTCGGGTATACATATTTTACTAATAATGGTTTTATACATACAAAATGCATACACTTACCACTTGTAGAAGCTGAAAATGTAACTTAAGGTTGACAAGTTGTAATAAAAAATAAATTTGCAATTGTCGAGAAAAATGCATAAATTACCACTCGTTGCAGATGAAGATGTTGCTAAAGTTAAAAAGTTGTAATAAAAATTGTTACTGCAATTGACTTTGAAATTGGTATTAATTATATTAACAGTTATTGCAAATGACTTTGAAATTGGTATTAATTCTATTAACAGATTAAAAAATACTAGCTTTTAAAGTTACTAACCGTAGCAACTTATGAAAGGAGTGAAGATTAAAAATGATTTAAATTAAACCAAAATATAAATATATATATTTGTAATTCTATATTCATTACTAAAAGTTAAAAAAATTGTACAATTACACAAAACACTATGAAATTGTCAGTAGTAGGAATATGAGAGTTCTAGCTCATTTTCATTTTCAACCATATTTTCAACCATATATTTTAAAAAATATAGGGTTCATTTCTAACCATGATGTGAATAATTATTTATATAAGAAATAATTTTTCAAATTTATATAAATTTGAAAAAATTGAATTTTTTAAAAATAAGTGTTAATTTTTTATTTCTTGTCGGAAAATGACGTCACAGGTCACGTGATTTTCTTGCTGTGACGTCACATGACTTTTTCTAATAATAAATATTATCTGGTGTTTTTAACTTTTCTTCTTCTAATCTTTCCTTTTCTAACTTTTCATATTGTAATTTAAATTGTTTTTGCAAATAACAATTTAAAGCTAACTTTTGTTTATGAGTTAAATATTTATTATCTTTAACTTTATTTGAACGAAGCATTTTTTTGTAATTTAGATAAGAAATTTATTTTCAATTTTTTTTCTTGTCGAAAAATGACGTCACAGGTCACGTGAATTTTCTTGCTGTTTCTTTACCTTTTTATTCTATTGATTGTAAATATTCAAGTACTTCAAGGTGACCTTTTTCTGCAGCAAATTCAATTGCCCAATCTGTACTTTTATATCCTATAGAATGTAAATATTTAATTACTTCAAGGTGATCATTTTGAGCAGCAATTGCTTTTTCTGTACCTTTATATCCTATAGAATGTAAATATTCAAGTACTTCAAGGTGATCATTTTGAGCAGCAATTGCTTTTTCTGTACCTTTATATCCTATAGAATGTAAATATTTAAGTACTTCAAGGTGACCTTTTTCTACAGCAAAATCAAATGCCCGATCTGAACCTTTATATCCTATAGAATGTAAATATTTAAGTACTTCCAAGTAACCATTTCTTGCAACCCAATTAACTGCCCGATCTGTACCTTTATATCCTATAGAATGTAAATATTTAAGTACTTCAAGGTGACCCTTTTCTGCAGCAAATTCAATTGCTTTTTCTGTCCCTTTTTCTCCCAATTGATCTAATAATTTAATTAGATCAAGTCTACCCATTTCAGCAGCAAAATCAACCTTATTACCTTGTTTATACCCATAGTTTTTTAATACTGCAGTAACATAATAAGGTTTTATTAAAAATTTATTATTCTCAAAATTATTTTCTAATTCCATTTCTTTTTATATATAAAAGAAAATTATTTAACTCATTTTCAATTTTTTATTTTTTTACAAAAATAAAATATTTAATTTAGTGTACTTTCATCATCTTCATCATCTTCATCATCTTCATTATCATATTCAGTAGTTTCTGTAATTTCAGTAGTTACTGTAGTTACTGTAGTAACTTCTTCTTCATCTTCATCATCTTCATATTCTTCATCATCTTCTTCAGTCATTTCAATATCATCTTCATCAAAATATTCAGTAGTTTCTGTAATTTCAGTAACTTCAGTAGTAGTAACTGTAGTAACTTCAGAATCTTCAGTCATTTCAATATCATGAGTATCAATAATATTTAAATTTTCTTCTATTAATCTTAATCTTTCATCTATTAATTTTAATAATTCTTCAATTTTATTTTCCATTCTTTTTATTATGTAAAGAAAATTATTTAACTCATTTTTAATTTTTTGATTTAAAATATTTTTACAAATAATAAAAATAAAAATGAATGATGATGAGATTAATGAAATATCTGAATTTCAAAAAGAATTTAAACTTTTTGAAGAAATATTAAAATTTGAATTTGAAGAATCAGATTCTGAAGATGACACTTATTATACATCTGATGAAGCTACTTATTTTACATCTAATGATGAAGATGAAGTTAAAGAAAAACCTATAGTTCCAATTCCTTTAAAAACAGTTCAAATCATGGAACTGCATAAAGATAAGCTGAAATGGATTAATTATGTTCCAACTTATAATGTTATTAATGATGATTATCCTGCTATAGATAATACTTCTTTTAAAAAACACAACAAAAATAGAAAATTTAGTTTTGAAAAACCATTTAATGTTGATATTAATTTTACTGAAGATGGAAAACCTTCAACAATTCATTTTGTAGAGAAACTACCCATTTTCTGTAAAAATATTTTAAATGATAATTTCTGCCCTTTTGGAAGAAAATGTAAATACAATCATGATATTCCTTATTGTAATACTGTAAAGGAAAGACTAATATGCACTAAATCTTCATGTCAATATAGACATATTCATATTTGCTATGATTATCCTAAATGTAGGAATAAAGAGTGTGTATTATTTCATCCTAAAAAGTCAGAATTATCTAAATTAAGAAAAGCTAAAACTAAATTATGCAAATATATTCTTGATAAAAAAGAATGTAAAAATATAAATTGCAAATATGCTCATTCTAAAAAAGAAATTGAAGAAAATGTAGAAATTTGTCATTATACTCCATGTAAATTAGTAGAGAGTAAATTAAAGAAAAATAAAAAAGGAGAAATAGAAACAATATATAAAAATAAAAGTGATAAAACATGTTATTTTTTACATCAAGGTGAAAGTATTTTAAATTATATTGTTAGAACTTTAAAAAAATGAAAAAAATATCATATTTTAAAAGTATTATATTTATAGTGATTTAAAAAAATCTTTACATTTAAAAAAATGTATAAGAGAAGAATGTTATTAGATTATGAAAAGCATGAAAAATATACAATAACTTTTAATATTAATTCAGATTTAGAACATAGAGCAATAAATGATAGACATATTAAAGTATTTGCACAAGAAGATTTTACAGTAAAATCAAATTCATATAATAGTATTTCTTTAATGTGTGGAGTTAAAATAGATAAAGGGCATGTAATAATTTCACTTGCAGAAAATTATAAACCAACACTAAATTTACTAAATTCTGCTGTAATAGAGTCAACTGATGATATTAAAATAACTTTATATAATAACGATAAAAAAGATATAAACATTAAAAAAGGAGATTTGTTATGCTGTATTTCATCTTATAATGGTGTTTTTAATACAAATCATATATCACATAGAGCTGCTTTAGAACTTGATAAAAAAGTAGAAGCTAGATCACAAAGTGATAAAGAATCTGTAAAATCTATATTATCAAGTATAGGAGAAATAATTAAAGAAACTATATGTGATGAAGATAAACCTAGTATAGATAAATCTGACAAAGCTCTATTTGATTTTGGTAAAAAGTGATTTAAAACAAATTTTTCTTTATAGAAAAAAGAAATGCAATGTAATAATGAATGTAAACAGCTTTATCCAGATCTTAACCAGTTTTCAGAAAATCCATCTGCACCACCACTATCTATAGATCAGAGATATCGATTAGATAAAATAAGTGAAATTCAAAGTAAAATAGAATGTGAAAGAAGTAAAAGAGCTAAGTTGAGTAAAAAATATCACAGAGCTGTAAGAATAATTTCAGTTGTTGATGATACATTACTTGCATCTACTATGACACTTGGAGCTGTTGGTATTGGCTTTTTAACAACAATAGTTGGAGCGCCAGTAGCTATTGCATGTGAAGGTTCAGCATTAGGTATGGGTGCATTATCATTAATAGGATCTAAATTAATTAAAATATATAATAAAAAATCAGAAAAGCATGAAAAGATTAAAGTATTAGCTGATGCAAAATTAAATACGATAAGCGGTATTGTTTCTAAAGCTTTAAAAGATGGTTTTATCGATGATGTAGAATTTGCATTGGTACTTTCAGAATATGAAAATTTTCTAGCTATGGTAGAACAAATTAGAACAAAATATAAGAAAGATATAGATGAGCAGACTAAAGAGTCAATATTTAATAAAGGAATAGAAAAAGGCAAAAGTGATATTATAGAAGCGCTAAATATGAAATTTAACAAAAATCAGAATATAGGAGTGATGAATAATACTCTTAAGAATTAAATAAACATATATTATGTATTTACTTGAACATATATTATGTATTACTAACATAATATATGTTGATTTAATCCCTTTAGGGATCTGAGACTCACATTGTGATTTAAAAAAATTATTGCATATATAAAAATGTTTGCAAAAGCTACAGATATTGAAGCAAGATTAAAAATAGCAAAAGAACTTGCTAGTTTAAAGAAAAGTATATATCAAGATGATGTAAATGAAAAGTTAGGTTATGATGCTTTACAGACTAACTTGGAAAAATTGTACAAACCAATAATTGATAGTCAATCTGGAATAAAAGAAGGTATATCTAAATTAGAAAATAAAGCTGATCAAATAGCTAATACTTTTTCAAGTTATCCTGCTTTACTAGATTCTGAAACTAAATCAATCATGCCACCTGAAGTTGTAGATAAAATGTCATTAGGACCTATCGCAGCAGAATATCTAAAGTTATATACTGCTAAAAATAGTAAAAAAGTATCAGATGATATATTTGGTATACATTACAATGAAGGTGATAAAAAATTTTACATTGGTAAAAAACCAATAACTATTGAAGGTAATGATATAACTATTGAAGATAAAAAATACACTGGTACACCCGGTCTTTGGGAAATCATAGTAAAATCTCATCCTGTTAAATATACTAACGATGATCGTAATAAGTATAAGGAAATTTTAAATCAAACAGATGCAATTCGCTCTGATTTAAATTCAGCTAAACCAAGATCATCTAAAAGTTATAAATACACTAATGTAATAAAACCTATTTGGCAAGAGATGATTGGAAAGTCTGGAAAAGGTGTTGTCATTCTTCCTAGTGATCCAAATGCACTATTTGAGATGCTTAAATTACGCTTAGCTGGTTTACAAGCAGGAAATACTGGAACAAGAAATGAGATTGTTGCTATTTGTGATGAGTTGTTACGACAGGGTCAAATAGATGATGATGACTATAAAGCATTACAGAAAGCAATAACTTAAAATGAATTAAAAAAATTATTTTATATATAAAAATGACAAAATACTATGATACTCTTATCAATCTTTCAGATAGTCAGAAAGAAAAAATTAAAAAAGCAATTGAATCTGATACTAATGCTAGTATAAAACTATCATATGAAGATTTAAATGGTGAACACAAAATAGCTTTAACAGAATCACAAAGAAACAGAATGAAAGCAGCCTATTTAAAAAATAAGGGTATAACACTTTCACTGAGTAGAGCACAACTTAAACATAATGCTAAAAAAAATGGTGGATTTCTACCTCTACTTGGATTAATTGGAAGTGTAATTGCATCAAAAGTTGTTCCGGCTATAGCAATAGGATTATTGACTGGAACAGCTGCAGCTGCTGGAAGTACTATAGTTAATAAAATTGCTGGAAATGGTATTATTTATGGAAAAAAGAATGGTTATGGATTTAAAATTAGAAAAGTAGGAAAAGGAGTATTTTTAAACCCATGGAATGGTAGTTATAATTATTTAGATGGATATTATTCTAAAAATGGAAATGAATATTCATCAGTAGGTAGAGGATTGTTATTAGGAGAAAATTCTCCATTTAAGAATATACCCTTATTAGGTCTTATTTTTTAGATCACTTCGTGATCCAGGCTTCACTAAGTTCTGAAAGAACCATAGGAACTAGGTCTTCATAAAAAATATATTTTTTTTAAAAAAAAATATATTTATTGTTTCCACAACGAAGTTGGATAATAAAATAAATCTAATCCACTTCTATACCATTTAATAGATCAGAAGACAAATCTATAACAACAAATCCATGCTTTTTTGACCAAGCTTCATTACAAAACTTTTTAAACTCATCTAATTTCATATCATTTGAAACATGGTCATTATAAATATGATTTACATTTTTAGAATCTTGTTTAAACAAGCATATAAAATTTGCATTTTCTCTTATCGTTCTCCTAGGCAACTCAAAATAATTTTGTGCCAAGTAGAAACAATCTACATTGCTATGTCTTCCTCTTATATAGTACTTTTCACACTTGTTTTGTTTTGTTAATTGTAAATCATCGAATATCATTAAATTATTTTTAATAGAGTTAAGATTTTCAGGTTCTGGTACATCCTCTGCTGTTTCAAAAAATTGACACTCTATATCTG